TCTATGGCAGGGTGTAGACCCTCTGTCATCAATACACGCTCCCATCCCGGGGTGGTCTGTCCTACATGAAAGCCTTCCTCTGTGAGCACTTACTTCATGGTGACTGGAGCCTGAGGACAATGACTCAGCTCTGTGCCTTCAACCTTATACAGGAATGACACAGATTAGGCATCACAGATTTCAGTACAGATACTCCTTGTGTGAATAACATGTTTCTATGGAAAAGTCAACAAGTGACCCAAAGTGAGGGAGAGGGGCGAGACGAGGGCAGGGACGAGAGTCATCCCGGTGTGTGCTCACCCATGGGGCAGTGTTGCCTGGTGGCTGCTCTTGGAGCCCTTGGGTTTTAGGCCCCTTTGGCCCAAGCCGACTGCTCTCAGTTGACTTGGCGCTGCTGGCTGGACAGTTTCTCTGGCCCCTTCCTGCATTGATGGCTTCTGCCACCACAGAGAGGGGTTTTATACGCTTTTCAGGGGAGCGCTCTTCAATGGAGCATATATGGGACCAGGGAAAACGGACAATGTTTCCTGGGTAAAATGTTGAAGGTGGTTTTAACATTTCCCAACAGGATGAGGTAACGATGTCCCGGAACTCACACAGCAGCCAGACAATCCAGAGGCATGTCTGTCGGTCCTTCTCAGCAGATGTGGGGGAGGAAGGCTCAAAAGGGACAGTGTCCAGATAGTGTCTGTACTTCTGTGCTGGGCATTCAGACGACATGGCTACAGCGACCTCCTGGTTTTAATGGTCAGTCATTAAAGGTGAAAGGTGCCCTGGGGCCCTGAGTTAGAGCATGGAGCTCCACTCTTCAGCCTGCTCCCAAAGCCTAAATCCGGCCAGGGCTCTTTGCAACTCTCCCTGCCACGGTGTTAAGAACCAATGTGGCCCGTGTTGCCACTAAAGGCCTCAAGGGTGCCTAGTGTCTGGGGCTGCCTGCCACCAGTGGCCTCGTAGTTGTCCAACAGCCCTTCTGCCACTGGGGCCATGCTGATCTTGGTGACGTGTCCTGCTGCCACCCGGGGCCGTGCTGACCTCACTGGACTACACTGTCACCTGGGGCCATGCTGACATCCAGACCCAGAAGCTGCCCAGGACTACGTATGTCTGCTGGGTGTGCGGTCCCACAGTAGCTGGGCTCTGTGTTGTCACCAAAGGTTAGAGGGTAGCCCAGGGTCGGGGTGCCAACCTGTGGCCCTGTTGGTGGGTGTGTGGTGGTGGTGGGGAGCCACCAGAGCCATCCTTCCTTATCTGAGAAGCCTGTACTTCCACCTGGAGCCAGGCTGTCATTCATCCAGGCCAAAAATGCTGCTGAGGGCCATGTCTGGCTCCGTGGCCCAGCTGCAGCTGGGGTCTGTGTTGCTATCTGTAGCCTGTGTCACCTCAGGGGACCATGGGGATCATGTGTGATAGCATCAGAAGGCTGTGCTGAGCCAGCTCTGGCCTTCTCTGGCGCTGCTCCTCCCTGGACACTGCAGTGAGAGAGCCTGCTCCAGGCCTCATGGGAGAGCTGCCCCTCCCCACTCGGGAGAGATGGCCCCTTGCCTAACCACCTGTGGGGGACAGCTGATCTTGATGAAACAGGGAGTAGGGGAGCTGGCCCCGCCCTTCGCCTGAGGAGGGTGGCCAGATGGCCTGGGCTGACCAGCTCAACTCCCACCCAGGCCCACAGCGAGGCCTGGGGTGGGCCCACTCTGATATCTGCCCCATCTAGGACCTGCTGGAGCTTGTGAAGGGACTCGTCCTGTGGAATGATAACAGCAGTATCTCCATGGCTCAGGGCAGCCACAGGATATCCAGGAGGAGTTTGGGTGAGGGTCCAGTGATGACAGGGTACCAGAAATCAGACATCTTGCAGCAGACCAGTGACTCCTTGTAATGAACATTTGCTAGTAAGGCTGAATGGAGGGAAGGGTACAGTGTGTGCCACACCTCAGCTCCCAATGCCAGCAGGACAAACGAGGTGTTGGAGAGCGGGAAATATGGATGCTCTGAAGAGGGTTTTTTTGCTGTTGCTCTTTTATGTTTGTTTGTTCTTTTGGTTTTAGTTTGTTTGTTGGCTCGTCTTGTCTTGGTTGGACTTTTTTCCTTCAGTTTTTAATTGGTGTGTCACTGCTGCAAGGGGCAGGGGAGGATACGGAGGGTCTTGGAGGTGAGTGGAACTGAATTGGGGTGCATGGTGTGAAATTCCCAAAGAGTCAATAAGGAATTTATTGACAGCTCGAGAGCTGTGAATGCATGGCACCCGACTTACGCATATTGCTTATCACATGAAGCGACCCTGAGCTCAGTCCCATGATGTGAAACTTTCTTGCTGCTGTTAAATGGTTATAAGGTCAGACCTTGAATTTCTTGTAACGACTGGTCTGAGCTTCCGCCAGAGACGATGGTGGACTCTGTCTGGAGATGAAGGCTGTTCTGTGAAGGTGTCCTCTGTCCGACCACCTCCCCTGCTGCCTCTGTCCCTGCCCAGTTCATTCTAATTTCCAGCCCTTTTCTGTACTTCTTGAGGCAGTGTCTCAGTCCATGGTCTCGGCTGGCCTGGAATTCGGTATGTTGGCCACGTTGGCCTCACACTCACAGGCTCATAGAGATCTGCCTGTTCTGGCCTTCACAATGCTGGAATGAAAGGCATCTGTCACCATGTTCAGCATAGACTCACTCTTTATTTTGTATTTCCCCCCCTTTGGCTATTTTCTGTCATATTTTACATCCTGACTGCAGTCTCCACCCCCTCCTCTCCTCGCAGTACCCCCATCCTCTCTGGCCCCGATCTACTCCCCCTCTGTGTCCCTTCAGAAAAGGACAGCCCTCCCAGTGATATCAACCAAACTTGGCATTTCCAATTACAACAAGATCAGGCGCATTCCCTGATATGCATATGGAGGATGCATCACGCAACCCAGTAGGAGGGAAAGGGTCCCAAAAGCAGGAAAACGAGTCAGAGACAGCCCTCCCCCCCCCCCCGCAGACACTGTCAGGAGTGCCCAAATAAGTCCAAGCTACACAACCATACCATGTATGCAGAGTGCCTAGGTCAGATCCATGCAGGCTCCCCGACTGCCTGTTCAGTCTCTGCGAGGCCCTGCGAGCCCAGGTTAGTTGATTCTGTGGGCCATTTTCTTGTGGTGTCCCTGACCCCTCTGACTCCTAAATTCCTTCCTCTCTGTCTTCCATAGGATTTTGGAGCTCTGCCTAATGTTTGGCTGTGGTTCACTGCATCTGCTCCCATCAGTTGCTGGATGAAGCCTCACTGATGAGGATTATGCTAGGCTTCATTCTATTAGTATGCAGTCATTACATTGAGTATGTTGGGGTTTTTTTCTTTTCTTTTTTTCTTTTTCTGGTCAGATTTGTTTCTATCCGAGGTCTCTGGGTAATCAAGGCCCTTTGGTTCCTGACTGTCCAGGCAGACTCACATATGGGCTCCCTCGTGTGGCGTGTGGCGTGGCTCTCAAGTAGGACCAGTCATAGTTTGGACACTCCCAGAAGTTCTGAACCACCTTTACCCTAGCACATTTTGCAGGCAGGACAATTTGTAGGTCAGAGGCTTTGTGGCTGGATCGGTGGCCCTGTCCCTCCATTGGAGGCCTTGCCTGGGTTCAGGAGATGGTCGGTGCAGGTTCTACAGCCTCCATTACTAGGACTCTTCCCTAGGATGACCCCAGTAGCTTCCAGGGATTTTCCATTCTACTGGCTTCCTATCTCAGCCATGAAATCCTTCCCAGTTCCAGTTTTCTCTTCCATCTCCCCAGTGAGGTGATCCAAACCCCAGAAGACAACAAGTGGATGTTAGCTGAAAGGAAATGCATCATCTTATTCTCACTGCGAGTGAAGCCAGCGTGTGGAATTTAACGGGAAGCCGCCCCTTCGTGTGTCCCTGTCCAGGGGGGGTTACATTTCCTTCTGCCTAAAGCTCTACTTCCCCCCACGAGGCTCACTCATGTCTCAAAGGCCTGCTGCTATGATAAACCTCATTCCTGAAGGGTATTTATGTGTCACCTTGCCTTTTTGAGGACACCCACTACTGAGGGCCCTTTACTTCTTTTCGTCACCCTGTGGATCAGGTGGACTTTCCTCAGGCTACAAGAAAACTAAGCCATAGTGCAAGGACAATCGCCTGTTTTATTCTCTCATTTCAAGTTAGAGCTGAGTCTGTGGCCCACAGGGCCTTGCTAAAGAGATGAGTAAAGGTAAAGTGCACTTCAGAGTTCTTGCATACTGAGGCTAACCGTGAGTACATAGAGAGGTGGCAAACAGAATTAGGAGGTGTGCATGAGAGGTAGCAAAGGGAATGAGGGGGTTCTGTGACAATGTGTGACTGGTTTCCAGCGCAGGAGCTCTAGCTTAAATGACGGGTGTTGACCACGGCTCAGATGTGACCTACTCAAGGGTCCCAGGCATCTCAGAGGGTTCGGAAGTGAAATGCTACTAGGAACCACGCCCCCTCAAGAACACCACCTCCCTAGGCTGTGGCTCACTCACAGGAACCCTCTGCTGTTTCCACCGCCACCGCAGGCCCTGTTGACACTGGGGAACCATTCAGCAGCCCCTCTGCCTGCTGAGGGGGACATTGGACTTCATTGGAACCGCCGGGGGCACCTTTCTGCCATAAGCTCTAATCTTGCTGGGAAACACTGCAGCCATATCTTTCGAACGGTTGTGAGAACGCCCCAGGGTTCCCGGGGCAATACCTTTCCATGGTCGTCCTTTGGTAAGGGGCATGATGCACATGATGCACCCGAGGACCCTTGCTTCCTCTCTCAGTGCCTGCCATTGGCCAGCAGGGCTTTGTGAGCACATGCCGAGCTCACAGTGGTTGCTGGTGGGAACAATGGCCTGTGGTTGCCAGCTTGTCAGGAGGGGCTGTGGACCAGCCAGACTGGTGCTGAGCGGCTGCGGTGGTAGGATGAGCCCAGCCTTCCTGAGGGCTGCGCAGTAGCCATCTGGAACCCTCTCTTGGGGAGCGAGACAGCAACTCAGGAGGTGGCACCATGGGGGTCATGGCGTCCAGGTCTTCATGCTGCTATTGCCCTGGCTGCTCTGACTGTGGTCTCCGCCGCTTACTCAGGCTGTTGCGCAGTGTTATGTTCTTCTTTCAGTGGAAGATTGAATCTGTGGAAAGAGACCGGGCACAGCTGGAAGGTACTTACTTTCCAGGCACTCAGTGGCCTAGACTTCCAGGGCAGGACACGGAGAGGGTGGGTGTGTGGAGAGAGAGGATCAGTAGAGGCCCGCAGCCGTCCTCAGGGGCTGCTGAGTGGGAGGTTGCCCCCGGGTACCCATGAGTTGGGTAAACTGCGAACTCTATACCAAATTCTCTTGGTGGGCCAATGTGGGGAAAACCTTGTCCTATTCTCAAGGGCTGGGGCACAAAGAGCCCTCGAGGGCATTTCTCCTACTTCCAGGAGAAGAGAAGACCCCATTTGGGCGCCGATTCAGATTAGTCCCGGTTCCCATCCCCGCTGGTATTTGAGGCGGGAAGGGAGTCAGTGCGCGGTCTTTGCCACGCGTGGGGAGATCAGGGGCCGATTTAAGCCCCTTGTACATCGAATCTCACTTTACGCGAGCACTCAAGCACAATGGGTGAAGGCCTGTGAGAGGCTGGGGGTCCTGGGCAGCGTAAGAAGCGTTCCTGGAGTCATCCCAACTTGTGCATGGCGTTTCTATGGGCTAAGCGTGTGGCTCATGTTCATGAGCAATGCCTCAAGAGAAGCCCCATCGTGCCTTGCGAATCCTACAGCCATTTGGGCCAGGAGCGCGATGCCAACCTAAGCTGCATCACGGAGGAGTCCTGGGCACGCGTCTCACTGTGGTGCTCATTAGACAACCCTTGACAGTAATCGTGGTCCTGGAAAGAATGTCCACCCACAGAGCTTGACCACTGAGGTGTGCAAGACACCTACAGGTCTATGGGGTTGACACGTGTGTGTCAGGTTATGTTCACAACAGAAACCAGGAGACATAATTTCCTTACAAGGGCAGAGACGGTTAACAAAAAAAAATGTACTAGGGGTTACATAGACCGTAAGGGAAGGACACAGTGCACATAACCAAGGCTGTCTGCTTCCCAACTGGTGCTCTTCAGCAGGGTCCTCCTGTGCAGAGCTGGGCAACGTCAGGATTTAAACCTGACATTGTGCCTCCAGAGTCTGAGAGGTCCCCACCCCACACACGTGCAGTCCCTTGCATGGGCCCCTCCACCCAGAAGCGTTGTGTTTGCAGGACATGTTTGTGTGCCATACCATCATGGGGGAGGATTCGCCAGGGTGGTTTTTGCTTCTGAGATTAACTCATGGCATCTGCTGCGTGTCCGGTTCACAGGCGAACCCAACACCAAGATTGTGAAAGGCACTGTGACAAGCTGTGGCAATGATTATGGCTGGATCGAAAACTGTGTCTTCTTCAGCACCGATGTTGTGATCGGCCCAGTGCCTCTGCAAGCTGGAGACCAAGTCCTCGCATTTGTGGAGGAAGACCCACTGTCACATGACTTGAAAGCAACCGAAGTAAGCTTTGCGAATGTTCGGGAAGACTCTTTTCCCATGGGGCTTTCAACCTTGCTGTTGCTCTTTAAGCTAACCTAAACGAACCTCCCCAGAGCTCATATACTGTGCTTGCTTGTGGTGAAATGCACACTGCCCTGTAGCTGTAGCTTCCCTGTGTTCCTCCCTCTCCTGTGTGTGTGTGTGTGTGTGTGTGTGTGTGTGTGGTGGGGGCCTGAGAGGGAGAGGGGAGAGGCAGGAGAGAGAGCCAGAGAGAGAGAAAGCCAGAGAGAGAGAGAGAGAGAGAGAGAGAGATTGAGAGAGAGCGCACAGGGTGGTGCTGGTGTGTCTCAATCTACTGCCCGGGTGTCCTCATACTCTGGAATCCTCCAACCTCATTCTGTGGAGCATGGTGACAATGCCTCCATACCCACCCCAGAGTTCCACGTCATACGCTGTAAACATCCATGCTGTCCCATTGCTCAAACAGAAGGATCGACAGTGATAAGCAGTAGACACAGTGCTGTCTTGCAACTGTTACTGTCAGGTAAAAATCTGTGTTTTCAAGAATGCACTCCCAAGAGTGGCCCTGCCATCTCAAAAGATGTGTGTCCATCTGCCAAAAACACTTACGGAGGTAACAAGGAAAAGTCACTGGGGTCTCCCATTCAGGGTGTGAGATCTAAGAGTCGAGTCTTCATAGAGTCCCGAAGTATAGTACCGAGAGGAGATTGCATGAAATCCTCTGCTACCTTTGCTGCAGGTATCCATCCTCCTAGCAATAGGCTGCCTCTCTTGCAGTATGTGCAAGGAAGGGCCCTGAACACCCAAAGCCTTCCCTTCCTAGAAGGGAGACGCAACATGGAAGTTTCCTTGGGAGCTGGCGGAAATCTTCAGGAGAATGCTTCCGTTCTTATTTGTGACAGTCAGTGATCAATCAGGCACATGGTTACTGTCTGCATAGCAAGCACCTGGGACTCTTAAGAAAAGGGACATATGAGGCCCTCGTGGGTCCCTGTCACATCACCACCTTTTGACCTTTTTGACTTTCAGTGTTCATGTGTTATGTATAGCTCTTCTTGGCCACATGTTCAGTCAGAACACACACAGAGTCTCACGCTGACTCCTGACTCACCCATGGCCTGTTTCCTATGACAGTTTAGTCACACCTGAACATTTAGCAAGGCTGGACTTGACTATGTGCACACACAGAGAGAGGAAAGAGGAACCATATCTCACTGCTTGTCCCCTCCCACACAGTGGAGAAATCCCCCCAACACACACACACACACACACACACACACACACACACAAACACAGAGACACACACATGAACGCACACTCACAGACACACACACACACACATGCATGCACACTCACAGACACACACACACAGACACACACACACTAACACACAGATAGACACACACACACACATGCATGCACACTCACAGACACACACACACACAGACACACACACACTAACACACAGATAGACACACACACATGCAAGCACAATCACAGACATGCACACAAACAGACACACACACAAACACAAAGATAGACACACATACACACACTCACACACACACACAAACAGACACAGACACACACACAGACACACAGACAGACAGACACACACACATAGACACAGACAAACATATAGACACACACACAGACACACACACACACACAATCACACACAGATGCACGCAAACTAACACACACACACAGACACACAGACAGACACACACACAAACACACACACACACAAACGTACATTCACACACACACACAAACACAAAGATAGACACACACACACACTCAGACACAAACACACACACACGAACCTTCATTCACAGACACACACACAAACACAAAGATAGACACACACACACACTCAGACACACACAAACACACAGACAGACAGATACACACACAGAGACACACACAAACACACAGTCAGACACACACACACAAACACACAGACAGACAGATACACACACAGACAGACACAAACACACAGCAGACACACACCCACACACACAAACAGACACAGACACACACACATAAACACACAGATATACACACACACATGCATGCACACTCAGACACACACAAACAGACACACACAGACACAGACACACACACACAAGCACACAGACACACACGCACACACAAACACACAGACAGACACCCACACAGACACACACACACGCACACACACACACACACAAACACACAGACACACACATGAATGCACACTTACAGACACCCATACAAAAACACACAGACACACACACTTGCACGCACTCTCACAGACACACAGACACACAAACAGACACACACACACTAACACACAGACACACACACATGCAGGCACACTCACAGACACACACACACACTAAGAGGCACAGACACACACACACAAACACAAAGATAGACACACACTCACACACACACTCATAGACACACACACAGACAGACAGATACAGACACACACACACACACAGACACACACATACAGACACACACATACACACATACAAACACCCAGATTGACACACACACACACATGCACGCACACTCAGAGACACACACACACAAACAGACAGACACACACAAAAACACACAGAAAGACACACGCACATACACACTAACACAGAGATAGACACACACACATGTACGCACACTCACAGACACACACACAAACAGATACACACACAGACACACACACACACAAACAAAAAGATAGACACACACATGTACGCACACTCACAGACACACACACACAGACACACACACACACACAAACAAACACACACTGCCTCTGGCTTCTACTGACTGAAAGGCTGTCTCCATTGTCCTCAGAAATGACTGAATCTGTCTTCTTCCTCTGTTGTGTTAAGGGATTGGGATTTGCCATAATGTTTCCTAGACGTGAGGCTTCTGGGTAGGTTCATGGGACACTATGGCTAGGAAGTCGTGTGGCATCTGGGCACAGACAGGTCTGTAGTGCAGTTTCCTTGGGACTGGCAGCGGTGGCTGTGGATAGAGAAGATTGTGTGGTGTTTCACTCCTCAAGGAAGGTCTATTTTGAGGAAACACCATGGAATTGGTAGCGACTGCTGGAAGGAGCCCAGTGTACCAAGATCCCCAGGGAGGCAAGCTGTTTGCAACAGCGGAGAGTGTCTTAAATCTGGAATCTTGTATTCTCTCGGGGCCTTTCCAAACTCAGCCCTTCCACAGGCAGTGTGATAGACGCACGATTCCATTTTGATTTTGATCGTTTTCATTGCTGCTTCCGCATCGGCTAGGTCTGTGTCTTCTCCGAAGAAGATAAGCCTAGAGAACCAGACTCCAAGATCCGTGATTTATCTGTGTGTGTTTCCCTCGTCAAGAAAGATACCGTCTACATCGCGGAGGAGTACTACTTCTATCTGGACAGCATTTCCAAAGGTTCCATTTACATTTTAAAACTTGTCTGCTTTCACATTTGCAGGTTTGAGTGCTGACATTGCTTTGGCAGCAGCACCCTAGGCTGCATTCTAGGGCCTTTGTTATTTCTGATGTTTTTGGGCACTGAAAGTATAGTACAATACACGTATAAACAGGTAATCTTTGGGGATATCACACTGCCTTTTACTAGACACTCTTTAGTTGAGTGCACACTGGAAAACCTGGACAGATTCTTAATCCATGTGAGTATTTAACTCTGATAGAAAATTACTAGAAATGTATACCAATCTTGATAGTTTTAAGGTTTACTCATCTTTGTGTGTGTGTGTGTGTGTGTGTGTGTGTGTGTGTGTGCGCGCGCATGCGCGCGCAGCGCTCGCCTGTGTGTATGTGTTGGTCTGTGCACATAAGTACAGTTGCCTACAGAGTTCAGAAGAGAGTGTCATAGCTCCTGGAGCATGAGTTACAGGTAGTCAAGAGCCACAGGCAAAGTATTTTTCAAAACACTAAACTATGCTGTGGCCAGCGAGATGGAGCAGAGTGTTAAGGGCATGCATGTATTTGTCCGGCAGAAAACCTGAGTTTGTTCCTGACACCCCTGTGTCTATGTGGACGGGGGAGAGGCGTGGGGACACAGAGGCACAGGGGTGAGGGATGCAGTAAGAGGGGGGAGGAAGCAAGAGAGAGGGAGGGAGGATGAGACAGGAGAGAGAAATAGGGAGAGAGGAAAGAGGCAACTAGAGAGGGCAAATAGGAGAGGAATCTCCAGAGAAGGACTGAGAGGGGGAGCAGAAAGGTAGAGCAGAGAAGGAGGGACAGAGCGGGTGGAGAGAGGGGAGGGAGGGAAACAGAGACAGATGACTTGAGTCGCGGAGGAAATGAGAGTGACAGAGGGAAATGGGAGGAAGACAGAGACTCGGGGGAGGTAAGAGAGTGTGAGAGAGAGAGGGAAAGAGAGAGAGAGGAAAGAGAGAGACAGAGAGAGAGATAGGTAAGAGAAGGGAAACAGAGACAGAAGGGAAGGAGAGGGGGAGAGAGAGAGAAGAGGGAAGAAATAGGTAAGAGGGGTGTAGAGAAAAGAGGGAAATGGAGAGGAAGGAGACGATAAACAAGATGGCGGAAAAGAGGGAAATGGAGAGGAAGGAGATGATAAACAAGATGGTGGAAAAGAGGGAAATGGAGGGGAAGGAGATGATAAACAACATGGCGGAAAAGAGGGAAATGGAGAGGAAAGAGACGATAAACAACATGGTGGAAAAGAGGGAAATGGAGAGGAAGGAGACGATGAACAAGATGGCGGAAAAGAGGGAAATGGAGAGGAAGGAGATGATAAACAACATGGCGGAAAAGAGGGAAATGGAGAGGAAGGAGACGATAAACAAGATGGCGGAAAAGAGGGAAATGGAGGGGAAGGAGATGATAAACAAGATGGCGGAAAAGAGGGAAATGGAGAGGAAGGAGACGATAAACAACATGGCGGAAAAGAGGGAAATGGAGAGGAAGGAGATGATGAACAAGATGGCGGAAAAGAGGGAAATGGAGAGGAAGGAGATGATAAACAAGATGGTGGAAAAGAGGGAAATGGAGGGGAAGGAGATGATAAACAACATGGCGAAAAGAGGGAAATGGAGAGGAAGGAGACGATAAACAACATGGTGGAAAAGAGGGAAATGGAGAGGAAGGAGACGATGAACAAGATGGCGGAAAAGAGGGAAATGGAGAGGAAGGAGATGATAAACAACATGGCGGAAAAGAGGGAAATGGAGAGGAAGGAGACGATAAACAAGATGGCGGAAAAGAGGGAAATGGAGAGGAAGGAGATGATAAACAAGATGGTGGAAAAGAGGGAAATGGAGAGGAAGGAGATGATAAACAAGATGGTGGAAAAGAGGGAAATGGAGAGGAAGGAGATGATAAACAAGATGGTGGAAAAGAGGGATATGGAGGGGAAGGAGACGATAAACAAAGATGTGAGGGAAGAGACACACAGGAGAGAGGTGGAGAGTAAAGCAGGGAGGAAGTCAGAGAAGGAAGGGCACAGACCATGGGGTGAGGAGGGCAGAAGGTCAAGGGTGCATGAGGAAGAGAGGAGGTAGTGGAGGCGTTCAGGCGGAAGTGAGGAAGTAGGGCGGAGGGGACCAGGGAGGAAGAGGTGAAAACAGACAGGAAATGAGAGGAAGGGAGGAGTCTAGTAGGTGCGTAGGGGGCAAGAGGAAATAGAGACAGATTTAAGTAGGGAGAGGGGAGAGAGGGAAGGAGGGAGGGGAAGGGTGAGGCAAAGGAGGGAAAGGAGTAGACAGAGGGGGGTGAGAGATGGAGGCAAAGGGGAAGGGAGGGAAGGAGATGTCTGAGCAGAGAGAAATGGAGGGAGAAAGGGAAGCCGAGAAGCAAACCCGGGGAAAGGGAGAAGAAAGAGGAAGAGAAATAGAGTCAGGGAGGGAGGCAGGGGTGCATACGAGGAGGGAGGGAGGGGGAAGGAGAGGAGGAGAGGGGAAGGGAGGAGGGTGGGGTGGAGGGAGGGAGGGAGGGGTGGAAGGAGGTAGGGAGGGAGGGGGTAGGGATGGTGGAGGAGGGGGGAGAGGGTTGGGGGATGGGATAGGAACCAAGGGGACTTAGAGGAAAGAAGAAATGAGCAGGGAGAGATAAGGAGGGAGAGGCGTAGAGAAGGGACAGGAGAGAACAGAGAAGAGAGTGAAGGAGAGAGAGAGGGAGGAGAGACGCACAAGGGATAGACAAAGGGGGACGGATACGGGGGGGGGGGGAGAGGGAGCCAAAGAGAGAGGGAAAATAGGAGACGGAATTTCTTAGTTTGAAGACAGTCTGGAAGACATGAGCTCCTGTCTCAAAGAGAGGACTCTAAATGTGACCCATTGAACAGTGAATCATCCACTGTTCCCAAGAGAAACAGGCTCTGACCTCATTGTCCATGGGCCCACTTAACCTGCCTAAGGGAATGGAGCGAAAACAATGTCTAAAAATTCCCAATTTCTGAGCCTAGTGGTGGTTGTGTGCACCGTTAATCCCAGAGCCCTTGAAGTAGAGGCAGGCTGAACTCTGAGTTCAAGGCCAGCCTAGTAGACAAAGGGTCTTGCCGGACAGGACAGCTGGGACAACAGAGAATCCCTGTCTTGAAAAACCAAACAACCCACCAAACAAACAAACAAACAAACAAACAAACAAACAAACAAGGGTTGAAATTTCCTTTCTGGCTGGAGGATTTATGAGACATCTTCCTTTACACCTAATAGTCGCTTGATCGTGGGATCACAAGTCAATGTAAGCAGTGAAATTTTACTTGGCCAAAGGTAACGTGTAATGGCTTTCATACAGCGCATTCTAGAGTTGAGACTGGAGGTAGACGGCAGAATATTCATCTCGATTTCCTCTTAGCTATCTTAGGTTTCACACCTTATGAAGGGGACTGGCTAGATATTGAGTACTCTGCTGAAAAAGGGTCACCGAAGATCACAGTGCACTCCTTGAAGGCCACGAAGTGTAGGCGCCTGCAGGAGGTAATTACGGGCTCATTTCAAAGCCTGCTTGGGTGGTGTTTGTGACTTGCAATCTGCTGGGACTGCTGGGGAATATGAACCCACCCGCGCGTGACACCTCCTCGACCTATGTATTTCAACGGAGGGCTTTAAAGAAGTAAGGAAGAAAACAGAGAACGTGGACATACCGTCCTGAGCCACAGGTCTTACCACATGGGCTGTTATGTGGGTTATTCTCAACAGGGGGAGAGAAAAATGAGCAGTGCAGAGGACTGTGGGGAACGCGGGCATGCAAATAAGGGCCGGGGCTGGGGCTGGGGCTGGTGGTGCGGCCTGAGCCTGGGCTGGGGCTCTGGATGGGGTGTGGGTTCAGCAAGCCTGAAATTGAGTCTGCACAGGACAGGTTCAGATGAAATCCTGAGCTTGAAGAGTGACAGGGTGGGGGAGGGGATAGTCCACTTCATGCTGGTCTTGTTTCAGTCCTTGATCTGTCCTCGTTTAACTCCGGGGCTAATGGCCTCTGACGACTAAGTTTTAGGACACGGTCTCTCGTCAGCTGGACGGAACCACCAGAACAGTCTCCTCTTTAATTGGTGTGCGGTTGGATCTGGGGGAGGCAGTGGGTGGCGGGGTTGGCGGTGCAACAGGCAGGGCAGGACGAGGTGACAGGCTGGGTCGGGCCAACAAGTGTTCAGGAGCAGGGTGTGGAGGGACAGAGGCTGCGCAGGGATTCAGGGTTCCCACACGCAAGGCCGCACTTTGTCTCGGCAGGTCCATGTAACCAGTGTCCACAGACGACAAGGAGTGCTGAATCACACCATCTTTTTCACCCTGGTCTCACTGAAACTCCCCGTGGCCTACACCCCTGTTGTAGGCCACGTGGTCAGCGCGGTGATAGTGCAAAGCATCCGGCCCAACTACAACTGGAGGGCAATCTCCATGACTCCGGTGAACATGATGTAGGGGTGAGGGCCCTGAGAATCCCTCTTCGGGGCCTTTCCATAAGTACTGGGCCTCGTTTAGCGCAAATGCTTATGTTAGGAATTTTAAAGAAAATGGTATGTGAATTTCATGGCCACTACACCGCTTAGACCTGTCTGCATGGAGCGGGCGCTCGGCATGGGAGGGGACCTGATCCATCAGAGCTTGTGCTCAGGCTGCCTCTTGCTGTCTGCAATACCAGCATATGACCTGAGCTGAAATTTCCAGACTTCTGCGACCAGGAGTGGACCCTCTGCAGCCAGAGTGTCTGGGGTTTGTCCCATAACGAACGTGTAGGACAAAGCATTTGACCCGAGGCTCCAAGGCAGCAGCTGGAGACACCTCAAGGGGCGTGGCGTGTTTCTTGGCCCACAGCCGGTTTTTAGTGTCCCACACCTACTCCATCTGTGGCAGGCAGTATCTGCCCGTGGCCCATCTTCCCGTGCTAGACTGTAAATGTTGCAACTGTCCAAAGCCTCCAATGGCATTTCAGAAAGTCAGAGTTCACGTTATTAATTTTAATAAATGGATGTTAACAGCATCGGTAGCTTTTCCTCATGGATAAGGAACCATCCGTTCCCAGGGATAGAACCCTACTAGCAGAGTTGACTCTTCACACAAAAAGCCAGTCTGACCTTTCCTTAGGTTTGCAGGGCCCTGTGATCCCGCAGAGCTGGGGGGAGGGGTGATGACTGGGACAGAGATGGAGGAGTCAGGGACTCGGGTGTATGATTGTGCTGGCACGTGGCACATAGGCCCACCACCGGGGCTGCCCCGAGTGCTTTTCTGGTCAAGAGCAAGGTGCTCTGACCCCTGGGGAGCTCTTGGTCAGTTGAACCCCTAACTCCAGGTGGACATAGCTCTGAGAGCCCCTGGATGCGTCCCGCTTGGGAGACGATGGGCCCTCTTTCCATATCCATTCCTTGACTGGCTACCCCTGAGTCCGTGGCCTCTTTCTGACTCATGAGGCCCATTCGTCTATCTCCCCCTGCCTTTCACCTTAACCCCAGTCTCCTGGCTCCTTCCATTGCCTCCCTCCTCTGTTCCCCTGGAGACTATCCTTCCCTTGCAGGCTTGCTTGCCCTCCTAGGCAGCCTGCACTCCCCAACTCCAACATGCTTCCCTGAAGTTCCTGCCCTACTGAGCACCCCACTGTCCTGCTGCCCTCCAGTCATCCGCCCCTCCTCCTTGCTCCCTTTGCCAAGCCCCAGTCTCCCTGCCCTGCCCTGCCCAGCCTAGCCTGTACTCTCTGCCTCCCGTGAGACCTGGCCTTCTAAGCCTTCTGACAACTCTCCCCAGCTTCCTGTTCTCCCTTAAGACCTTCTCCCCTCCATCTCAGTTCCCTCTTACTCTGAGACTCCTGCCCTCCCCAGGTCCACCCTGCCTCCTTCCTAAGCCTACAACCCTCCCCAGACACCCAGAATGCCCTGAAGCCTCCCACAGTCAGTCACCCTGGACCTGCTTACAGGCCTCTCATTGTCCCCTTAACTACTGCCCCCTTGCCAGCGTCTTGCTCTTCTCCTTTCTCCGGGGCCTGATACCCTGCCCCAGGTTCTCCAAATCCCAGTGCCTACTGCCGTGATAACCACACACCTAGTGTCTCCCCACACTGATGCCTTAGCCCGACGTTTTTAGTCTTCCTTGAAAGGCATTCGTAACCCTTGACTCCTAGCACCTAGCTGAACAGAGAGTGCCTCTCCCGAACCCAGCTTTCCTTCCTCCCTGGAGCGCCCTTCCCTACAAACTTGTGCTAACCCACCAATCCACATGACCCTCGGCCTCTCTCCAACTTTCTTTCCTCCCCCAGGCACCCACCATTAGTTAGAGACTCCTGTCCTACTCTGAGATCACCTACAGTCTGTCATGCTCACAAAAAAAAAAAAAAAAAAAAAACCCTGAGGCTCCTACTCTCCTTAGTCAACTTCCTGCATCCTCCCAGGCTCCTCCTGGACTACCAGAGTCCTCTGCCCTCTGCCAGACACTGACTTCCTACACCCATCTTCTGTCTGTGCCAGTTTCACTCACCACAAGGCCCCAGCTCCCACCCTTCCCAGGCTGCTACACCCAACCAAGCCTTTTACCATCTTGGGACTCTTGGTTTTGGTTTTTATTGTTTCGCTTTGATTTTCAAAACAGGTTTCTTTGTGTAGCTTCGGAGCCTGTCCTGAATCTCTCTCTGTAGAACAGGCTGGCCTCGAACTCTCAGAGGTCTGCTTGTCTCTGCCTCCCGAGTGCTGGGATTAAAGCCTGTGCATCCACATCCCGGCTCTGCGGGACTCTGATATCCAGCCTAACCTTCTTCTGCCCACCTTCCCAACCGATTGTCGCCTTCCAGTCCTTCCTTGTGTACCTATACTCCTCTGGGCTCGGGCTCCATTATGGACCCCATGGTCCCCTACAGACTTCTACCATTCACTAGCTTCCTAACATTCCCATTGAACCTTGTAACCCCCTCCCCCCAGTCCTCTGCCTTTTCCATGATCCTGTCATCCTTCGCCTCTAGCTGGGATGCCTACTGGGCAGCCTCCACGACCCGTGTTATGTCCCCCAGCTGGCTCATGCATCCCCAAATATCCCGAGGGCCTAGCTAGCCAACTGTAGGCCTGCTTGCCCCCAAGGCCTCCAGGCACATATCTAGCGCCCCCAACAGATTTGCCCTGCAATGGAGCCTTTCAACCAAACTCAATACCTTTCACGTTCCTGGACTCCCCGCCTCTTCTCCAGCCTTCTCTGTTCTCCCTGAACCTCTTTTTGACTTCCACCAGCCTCCTAACCTATACTCACTACCCTGCCATTCCGCCTTTGTATTTCTTCCTTCCATAGCGGCTACAGCCTCATTCAACTTCCTGTCCTCCACACCACCTCAAATCTCCCCTGTAAGCCTCTCCTCCACCCTCTCACCCCTGGCATCCCATGCCACAACTGAGTTTCCTTCAGTATTTAGGTCCCAACCGTCTTGAGGGTAGAGTCTCCCCAAGCTGCCTGCCCCAAGTTCCCAGTTTGTGTCCCAGAGCATCTCTCTACAGCCTTCCCTTTGTGGGCCCCACCCTGTCAGACAACCTGTCACCCATTCTCATGACTGCTTCTGGTTTCCCACACCGCCCAGCCTCTTGCCCACTCTTCCCCAGCCTGCTGTCATCTTTGTCTTCTTCCCATCCTCCTGTCCAGGGTTCTACCCTCCCTTCATGTCCCTCCATTCCAGAGCCCGCTGCCTTCTTCCCCAGTCCTTTCCCACACGCTGGCCCTTCTGCATTGTGCAAGCTCCCCAGGAGCAGCCTATTTCCTCCTCAAGGTGCAGCTGTCCCTAAGGATCAGGAGGCTTCTTACTCACTCACCTCATTACCTCACCCACACCTTTGTTCTGTTTATCACATTCCCCCTTCTATCTGAACTTTCCACCCTGTGTGAGAGGCAGTTTGCGTGTGTGAATGTTCTGAGAGCAAAGTGCTTGCCTGGCCCTAGGGGAGGCCGGAAGAAGACAGAATGCCTGAGACCGACCGGGGACTTTGAGTTGAACCTGGCTCCTGTAGAGCAGGCCATTTGCCTAACTGCTCTGGCGTTTTTTCCTAGCCAGGTTGCACGACTGTCAGAAAGAAGTCTTGGCACTACTGGGCAGCCTTCGTCCCTCTCAGGCCCCAACCTTCCCGAGAGCCTTCCGACCTCCCTCCCATTTGTCTTCACTTCCTCCTTTCCTCTCCAGCCTCTGGCAGCACCCTGGGCTCCTAGCATACCCTTACCCTCCCGCATCCATGCTCAACCCCCTGGACTGTCCTTACACCTCCGGTTGACCGGCACGCACTCCTGTGCTCCATCCTAGCCCTGGACCTCCCCTGCAGTCTCTCTACTCCTCACAGCCTCTTCCCAACTTTGGGCCTACTTGGCTGTGCTTTTGGCTCTGAACGGTCTGAAATTGTACCCGGGCCTTTGAGGTCCTGCAAGCAGCCTGCTCTTCCTCAGACTCCTAAATGCTTAAGCATTTGCCCTCCACTGCAGGGACCTACGCTCATCCGGGCATCCTTGAGCCTGATACTGTCTCTCTCAGACTCCTGACCTCCTCTTTCCTCCTAGGTATACTCTGAGGCTGCCATACTGAGCAGTGCCTTGCACCCCACCCCCTGCTGAGTCTCCTCCCCTCTATGGTTCTCTTCACAACCCTGACACCTAGAGTTTGAACCTACCTTAGCCTCTGAGCCCATCCTATTCCTTCTCTCCTCCTCTGCAGCCATTTGCCCTTTTGCCCCCAAGCCTCCCAAGTGACAACCCACAAGTTAGCTTCTCCTAGTCAGCTACTTTGTCCTTAGTCAACTGACTTCTCTTCCCGTCTTCCGTGTGCCTGCTTAGTCTCAACTGCATCATACATGCCTGGTGCCCTAAGCATCCTATCCTAGGACGGCTCTTGGAACTCAGACTCCTAATCCACCCCCAGAAACTCCCTTCCCTTCTCCCAGCCTCCTCCTAAGCCCTAAACACACTATGCTGTCTTCAGCCTCCTGTGCCCACACCGCCAGCATTTCCAGCCTGGCAGACTTCTGCCATCACTCCCAAGCCGCGGCCCCTGCTCCCTGTTGTCTCAGCCTTCTGTCCCTTGTGCTCTCTACGTTTGCTTCTTGCAGTACCACTGTATTCTGCCTCCTCCCCACCTGCCTATGCTGGTCCCCAGGGCTCTGCCGTTCCCTACACTCACACTCACACTCACTCTCTTCCCCTACAGAACTCTGTACTCATCACCCTCATCAGGCCTTCCCAGATCTGCATACTCTCCTGGGGATCACTGGGCCCTACTAACCAGCCTGCAACATTCCCAAGGCTTGCAAGTCCACTCACCTCAAAATATCACCCAAGACCTCCTGAGGCCTGCTGCCTTCACCCTGAGCCTCCTGCCGTCTTGTGCAGACTTTGCACCCCTTCAGATTCTGGACGTAACCATAGGTATCTTACCACCTTCCACACGTACACGTGTTCACTGAGGAGCCTCACGTCCATGATGTGAGCCTGAAACATTTCCCGCTCCCCTGACACACACACACACACACACACACACACACACACACACACACACACACACACAGAGGCACCTGACCTCTACCCTAAGCTAGGCTCATTACCCTAGCATTGGATTCTAAGATGCCCTCGAATTGATTCTTGATCTCCACGTCTACTATGCCCCCATCCCTCTCTAGGCCCTATTTATAATCCCACCCTCACTAGAACCTCCCTGCAGGACTCCGTTCTAGGATCAGGACAGGTATACGCTACATTCTTCCTTAATGAGTAAAACTCCCCCTCTCAAGAATCATTACAATTTTCTATGAATGACTGTTTTACCTGTGTGTGTAGGTTCTTTCATATTTTTTTATATTTTACTTGTATGTGCATTGTGGTTTGCCATGGATGAGATTTCCCCTGGATCTGGATTTGCAGACAGTTGTCAGCTGGGATGTGGGTGCCGGGAATCGAACCCAGGTCATCTGGAGGAGCAGCCAGTGCTCTTAACCGCTGACCCATCTCTCCAGCTCCCCCCACCCCCAACCCCCGTGGGTATGGTGTAAGAATCAACTGTGTTCCAGCCTAGTCCCAGGACAGGGCAGAAGAGCGCTTGCCTTTCCCTGCGGATGGGGTTGCAGAGCGCTGTGCACACCACATGCATGCTTGTCATCAAACTGTGGGCTGCGGAGGGGCAGGCAGATGTCCTGAGTGCGGGGACAGATGTCTAGCTCCAGAGTCTCCCAGGGTAACTTAACAGGCATTTCTCTAGTCTGCAGCCCAGTGTCCTCTAGCGGGCTCCCACTTTCCTATGGGCCCTCTGCCCTCCCCGCCACCTGCCTTGTCCTCCACTGTTGCCCCCGAGCCTCTCAGCCTCCTGTGTCCACCCCTGAGCCTCCAGTTCATGCTCTGACCCTGAACCTCGGACTTCTGCCTTGCCCATCTGCTTCCCTCTGGGCCAAGCCTGCCTACTCACGTTTCATCCTGCTTGATTCGGAGACGTCCCCAACATGTACGCTGCCTATCTCTCAGACTGCTAAGATCCTTCTGCAACACTCCAAATCAGCTGGTCTTAGGCTCCCCATTCCCCTGACCCCTCTGACTCCCTCTCCCCACAGCGCATCTCAAGATGCCCTTGACCTCTGCCAAACTGCCCCAGACTCCGTCCCTCAGCGGAGCTCCTTCCCAGTGCGCAGGTCTCCGAGCATCACACAGTCTACTCTCTCCTCTATTAGTTAAAAAAACGACAACTCTTAAAGATCATGGCAATTTCCTGTGGTGAGTGGCCTTTGCCCTTTGCCCTGTGCGTACATTCAAAGCAGCCAGAGCACTCCTGGGCAGAGAGCACTGGATCCCAAGGGACTGACTGGAGCTGTAGGCTGCTTTCAGATGATGGGGGCACTTCACGTTCCCAGCCTATGGAGAACAGACAATCGTCCTGAGTGCGGGGACAGATGCCTAGCCTGAGACCTTGCCATCATCTGAACTTGTGGCCCTATACTAAAGACCCTCTTCATCCAGGTGGGTCCCACATGTCTGTGAGCTCTCTGCCCTCCCTCACAGCAGTCTGCTCTCCCACAGTTCATCCTGATCCCCTGAGCCTCCTGCCAAACCCTGGCCTCTTCTCACACCCCTTATCGCCCTGCACACACCCTCCCCCTCCTCACCTCCCATTGTGCCTCCTGCTCACCTCCATGTACATCTGTGCTCCTCCTTAGCCTGTTCTCTCCCTCCTGCCACCCTAACGTCCATCGGAGCCCTCTCCCATCTTGCTCAGAGCCTCTGGGCCTCTGTCCAGGCTCCCTGCTTCCAAGGCTCCCAGGAGCTTGTTGCTGTGACCCTTCCCTGCAGCCCCTATACCCATTCACTCCCGCAGCAGCCCAGGGCCCACTCTCCCTGGAGCATGTAATCCTGCCTTGCCTCCAACTTGTTCCCCTGGTAATCCCTGAGGACCCCTAGGCCCTATCTTGTGCTTGCTCCTCCTTTGAGCTGTGGCCCTGTCTTCCCGCTATGCTGCCAAGCCCTGGAGCGCTTGGGCCTCCTCTTGCCTCCCACTCACTCATTAGTGTTTTATTCTTCCCCCTGCCCTGTGGCCCTGCCTGGCCCTTCTGCCTTAGTCCCCAGTGTTTTGGCCTCTGGGTGTCTGCCTTATGCTCCTTAAGAGCACTGTGTCCCAGAACAGTGTCTGAATCATCCCTCCACTTCCTGCCACTCTCCCAGGACTTCTGTCCTCCTTTCCGGTCTCCCTACCTAGGCCTGATGTGGAAACTTCTGCCGTATGTCAGGCCCCTGTTTACCAGTCCTGGCCTCCTCCCTGCCATTTGTCCCCTTGAACATCATCCTCTGACGTTTCGCTCCGGATTTTGCCATTCCCCAGCCAGCTACCCTGCCCTTAGCAACTTGACCTCTTAGCTTTCTGCTCTCTGTCTTCTAAGCCTCTACTGACCTCAACGCCAGAATCCTACACACCCTGGGGACTCTTCCAGCCCTCCAGATCCTCCTCTTCAAGGGAACGTCTTTCCCTTGCTCCAAGCCTTCCCTCTACAGCTAGACTGAGACCCAGTGACTGAACCTCCTGACCCCAGCCCCAGGATTTCCAGCCTTCCAGACCCATGCCACCCTCTGTTAGTATTCAGGCATCTGTACTGGGCTGGCCTTGGGCTTCTGACAGGATAAGCCCTCAGCTGCAGCCACTAAGAGCACCAGAGGTGCACATTCACTGTGCTCCCTTTGAAGGGGGCCCTGCCCACCTCCCATCCCTCCCTCCCTCCCTCTCTGTCCCTGTCTCTCTCTCTCTCTCTCTCACACTCTCTCTCTCTCTCTCTTTTTCTCTGCTCCCCCTTTCTTCCCTCCTGCTGGACGCTGCCCCATGGCATCTTTTCCTCATGCACACTGTTACTTTTCTTAAGTTATACCACCCAGCACTCCATCTTCCCGTCCCAACTCACGAACCTGCTCAACCTGACCCTCCCGTGTTCTTCCCCAGCTTCATGCTTTCCCTCTGTTCCTGCCTGCCTCCTCATCCACCTCCTGCATGCTCCTCAGATTTCTGCTTTTCCCTAATCTCATTGGCCAGCCTTTTAGACACATGGCACCATCGTCATTCTGTCCTCCCGTACCCTCCGACAGTCCCCGTATCATTGGACCCCACCCCACTCCCAGTACTCAATCCTCCTGCTGTCCTTCCCAGTTTTCTCACTTCCCTGTACACCTCAGGACCTCCTGCAGCCTGCTACCCTAACCCCCTAATGCCCTAACCCCCTAACCGGAGTCTGTGTTCCTCTGGCCCGGTCTCCGCCCCCCCCCCCCAGCCTCCTGGCCACCAAGTGAGTGCCTTGAGCTCCCCGGGCACCTGTTTTATTCTTGAGCCTGAGAGCCATGCCGATACTGACACCCTTCTGCCACACCTGGTCTCTTCTCTAGAGTAGTCTTCTTATCCTTACACGGTACCTTACGCTGCCCCTTATTTCCTGCCCTCCTGGTCAGCCTGCTCCCTTCCCATGTCCTCCTCTATCTCCTACCTGATATCCAACCCTACACCAGCTCTTCCTTCCTCTACTCTGTGCTACAGCCATGACGGGAGTAAACAAGCCTCTTCTCAGGTCTTAAAACCTCCATGCCGAAAATCTGTCAAAATAGTTTGCTGTGGATGGAGGTTTTGCCTGAATGTATTCTGAGCACGAAATGCATGCATGGTCCCAGGGGAGGAGAGAAGTCAGCATTGCATGCCCTGAACTGGACTCAACGATGGTTGTGAACCCCACGTGTATGAGTGTGTGTGTGTGTGTGTGTGTGTGTGTGTGTGTGTGCGCGCGCGCAGGGGGGGGGCTTTGAGTCACACCTATGTCCTGTAAAGGAGCAGAAATTTGTTCTGTGTGCTGAGCCAAGTCTCCAGCCCCAAGCTCTCCCAGTTGGTCTGAACTTTTGGCCCTATCCTCCAGTCCTCTTTCTTGTAGCTGGAGCCCGCCTTTCCACAAGATTTCTGCCCTCACATAAAACCCTCTTCACCCCCTGTGCTAGCTGATGCCCTCAGCCTGCCAACCTGGGCCTCCTAACAAATCCCTCATCTTCCTGCCGGGACCCTCATCCTTCTTACTGCCTACACTGTGCACATACACCTACCCTTTTGTCTGTCTCTCCTGCCTTGTTGCCATATACCTGAGCCCCCATCTCACTCACACACACACACACACACACACACACACACACCACTCACACAAATACTCTCACACTCCCTCAATACACACTCACACACACACACTCACAACACTCACACACATACTCACACACTCACTCAACACACACTCACACACACTCACACTCACAGACACACACTTCCATTCACACACTCACTCACACACTCACACTCACACACAGACACACACACTCTCACAACACTCACACACACTCACACACACTCTCTCACACTCCCTCAATACACACTCACACACACACTCACAACACTCACATACATACTCACACACTCACTCAACACACACTCACACATACACACACACTCACACACACTCTCACACACACACAGAGACTCTCTCACACACTCACACACATACTCACACACTCACTCAATACACACTCACACACACTCACACTCACAGACACACACTCCCATTCACACAGTCACATACACACACTCACACACACACTCACACACACACTCACACATACACACACAGTCACACACACTCACACACACTCACACACACTCTCTCACACACATACTCTCTCACACACACACACTCACACACTCACTCAACACACACTCACACACACTCACACTCACAGACACACACTCCCACTCACACACTCACTCACACACAGACACAGACACACACACTCTCCCAACACACACACACTCACACACTCACTCAACACACTCACACACACTCACATACACACACTCACACACACTCACACACACTCACATACACACACTCACACACACTCACACATACACACACTCACACATACACACGCTCTCACACACACTCACACATAGACACACTCACACACACACACTCACACACACTCACAACTCACTCACACACTCACATACACACTCACATACACACACTCACACACACTGACACACACTCACACATACACACACATACACATACAGACTCACACACACACTCACATACACACTCACACATACACACACACTCACACACACACACTCACACTCACACACACACACTCACACACACACTCACACTCACACACACACACACTGCAGAGCTTCCTGTCCCCTTCCCTGCCTTCCCAACTCCCTGCCCTGCTTTAACTTCCTCCCAGGCTGCCAGGCTTTCCTCTACCCTCATCTCCTTTCTTCCTCCACACTCCAGGGGCGTGGCTAATTTTTCTCCTTCAATGTCCTCCCAGGAGAATCCAATCCTGCTTTCCCTTCTGACTCTGGGCCTGGTGGGGAGTCGTCACACTGGACCCCTGCTGCCCTTGTGACCTCTGCTCCCTTTGGCCCTTCTGTCCACTGCTGCCTGGCCTCTTCCTACCCTGCCGAAAATGCTGGGCCAGCTCACTCTGTAGCAGTCTGCCCTCCCTCGGGCTCTTCCCCATCGGCCTACCCTTCCCCTCCCTCCCTGGCGCCTGCCATCTTCCCTGCCTTCTGTCCTGCTGGCCTTCCAATGTCTCCCTGAACTGCCTACCCTACCGCCCGGTCTTTGAGCTTCCCAATGAGCAGGGACCTGCCCTCCTCAGCAACACTGTGTCCTGCCTCCTCCCCAGCCATATCCTGCCTTGCCCCTCAGCCTGCTCCACACGCAGTCTGGAGTTTGTCCTTTCACCAACTACCAACTGGTGGGTGACGTTGGCTGTCGCCTGACCTCTAGCCTACTCTTGTGTCTTCGTTTCCCAAACCTACCATGGGGTTCCCGCACACCTTGGGGTGCTCCTGCATCCTGTGTCCTGCTCTTTCCAACCTTCCTGCCGTCCTTGCCGTCACTCTCCCCCGCCCCATCTCCTACCATTCCCCAGCCATCCTGCTCCCAGCACCAGCAGACCTCTACCATCACCTCCAGGCTCCTCCCCATGACCCCTGCTCAACCCCTGTTGCTCCTGCCCTCCTCCTCAGCTTCCTGCCCTGCCTCTGTCTCTGCTGACCTCCCCACCATCCCGTGACTCTCCTTTTGTCCCTCCCCCGCCATCACCATGCTTCTGG